TGAATTGTAGTATTTTACTTACTAAGATCACTGCATAAAGAGGTCTTTGCAACTCTTAGTACCACAAAAGTCAAAGTAAACTTTGTCATCTCTGCTGTATCCAATGCAGCATACAGAGAGACGAGACGACGAGGCTCCGGTTACATCAGTGTAAAAACGAGCTAATAAATAGATAAAAGAAGGGAGAAGAAAATAAATAAATATACGCTTAAGAGTTACAATTAGAATTTACAATTTATAATTTGGAGTGGTTTAAAGTGACCAGTGTAGCAGCTTGTAAACCCAGAGCAAAAAAGATTGTCCATAGAGCAGCAGTGGTTTACACACCAGAGGTAGTGGTGTGTAAAGTGCAAAAGAGTCAGTTAACAGATTGTGTGAGTGTGTGTGGTGAGGGGGAGAGGGAGGTCTGGTTCAAAAGGGACTGCAAAGATATTAGAAACAGGGGTATATCAGTACAGTTTTATACAAATCAATCGAACCACAAAACAACAGCTAATGCAGGTGTTTGAGAATGAATGTGGAGTTTTTGTAGAGTTCAGAGGGACTTTTTGCCACTGTGCTTCTCTAGCTGCACAGTAGTACACTGCACTGTGCTCATGTTGTGTCACTTTGACTATCAGAGAGCCATTTTTTGCTGTATCCCCACTCAAATCTCCTGTAAAATCAAAATGATCTTTATATTGGTCTTGGTCAAATGTGAAAGCTTGGAAGTTTAAAAACCCAATGAGTTTCATAGCTGTTTCTCCGGGTGGCTGCTGGTACCAGAGCATCACCCTGTAGTCAGTCTTTTCATGGCTGCAGAAAATCTCAACTCTGGATCCAACATTTGTGATGAACTCAGAGGGAGTCTGACCAACCTCTACACCCAGACAGACACCTGAATAGAGAATAAAAAATTGCATTTAAAGAAAGGGAGATTAGACATTTAAGGAAAGAAATTCCACTTTCTGAAGGGCTTATTGTGTGCAAACAAGGCATTATTACCTGTCAGGCACCAGAAGAAGAGATGATGAATCATGCTGACACTTTGCTGATAAAGATGTTTAAGATTTTTAGGGATTTAAATTACTATGATTTGATGTCAAACCCCCACTGATCTTTCTTAAAGTTTAAAAGTAAAGTGAAGTAAAACACTATACTGGCTGGGATCTAACCAAGAGGTGGGAGGAGTAGCTTCAGTTTAAAACATCCACTTTTATTAATGGTTCTGTTTTGTTTCAAGGGGAGGGGCTTTCCTTTCATTGTGCATAGATAGCTGCACAGTACTATACTGCATTGTGCTCAGGTGCTTTTAGATCAACAATAAACTGAGATGCGTTCTTTTCTTTCTCTGCTCTCAAATCTCCAGTAATATTGAAGTGTTTCTCTAACAGTTCCTCATTGTCTTTGGACTATAGCAGCAATGTATTTCAGAGCTTGGTCTTCTGTAGCATGAGCATGTAGTTGGATTTTCCACGGCTGCAGACCAGCTAGGTCTGTCTCATACTGTTCTGAAAAATTTCAGAGGTGCTTGGTGAACTTCCTTACTAGACCCCCACCATCTGTACTGTGTGAGTGTGAGACATGTTAAAATCCAGTGGCACGAAGGCATTATACAATAAAATAATGTGATTAATACATAAATAAAAGAAATTCCTATACAGAGGCTACAGGTATTACTTCAGTTACTTCACAGTAAGGAATTATTAATGTGATGTAATGAGGACTTGAGCAATCATAGTGAGACTACAATGAGATATAGCACCTATTTCAAATTTTTAAGCCTGCTACTGTTTATAATGGTAGGTGAAAGTTAAAGGCTTTGCTTCACAGCAAGGATCTCCTATTCATGATTGTAATCACAAGATCAATGTTGGTTAGAATACAGGTGCAGGTGGTAAGTGATAAAAATTGGTAGTGAGGAGGTTTTTGTATTGTGGATCAGTGACATGTAGCACTGTGGAATCTAGCAGCACAGAAGTACACAGCACTGCTGTTCATGAAGAGCTCTTTAATTATCAGTGTGCAGGTCTGGTCTTTATTTGCATTCCCACCAATTGTCACAGTCACTCCAGGCTCTACAGATGAGCTTGTTCCAACATGTATCCCAGGAACTGCAGTTGGCCGGTTTTTGTTTGCTTGTACCAGAGGATTTGATTATAGGTGTCTATACTGTGTGAACAGGTGATCTCAGCTGTTTCTTCTAGATTTTTATACATATCAGCTGGATTCTGGTGGACTTGGTCACTGAGTGATGAACCTGTGAAAAATATCAATGAAAACATCACAAAAAATGACAACAAGGAATATGAGAGTGAATGTTGGAAAATGGAAAAGTTAAAGTGCATTACCTGACACCAGGATGATGTTAAAGCTTATGCAGAAGAAAGTGATCATCATGTTGTGTTGCATGACTGACATTCATGAACATTATGTCTTCTGCACATTCAGTCTGCTGATCATTCACGTGTAATTTTTGGGTAAACCCTCCCATCAGGAAATCGGCAGTGATGCAGTGGATTCTGAAGAGCCACTGCACTACAGACATGCTGCCACCTTATGACAGGACTTCAAATAGCAAAGACCTAAACTGAACAGAGATGTGTAACACAAATCATAATGTGGATGGTTATTTCATTAGGACTGTGCAAGCTCCCTGTAGTGGTTCTAATCTGTGGTTATACACTTGTGACCATGTTAGAAGGTAAAGACTCTACAATAATAATAAGATCATGTCCCAGTGTAATAAAACTATCACATTGGTACAAACACCAAATCAAGTTTAAAGAGAACTAGCAACTATTTCTTCCGTTTGGCAACAAACAGCATTTTGATGCAGCACTACTTCAGGCAGATGTTCTGCAAAACAGTCATTTTTCCTATTGGTTAACATGATGAACAAGTACACAGTCATAATTGTTTTAAAATTTCTCAGATTATTTTGAAATATAATTTTTTGAATGTAATTATTAAGAAATATAATGTTTGACATGCTACAGCTTTAATCAGCTTTAATCAGCTTGTTAATTTTGCAGACAGTTTTTCTCATCATCAGTTCATTGATACATTTAATTCAAGAGAACAGAAATGATGATGGAAACAACAAGTTTAAAGGCTTCATGTTTGATGTCAAACATGTTCATTCATATCCAACATGAAGGTGGTCTGTGGGGGGAGGTGCAGTCTTATTATGTCCTCTTTCATTTGCACTGATATCGCTTTAGATTTTATACTGAATTGTGAGTTTGAAGCTACTAAATACAGTTCAACACTTTGACTAAACAGGCTGGCATAGCCATGAAACTACTTCTCAGTCAACTACTCAGTGAAGTATTGAAAATGGGAGACTGTTCAAAGCTGTAGTTCATAAACATTTAAAGCAGTGCTTGCGTTAAATCCATTTAATTAAAGTTGAAAGTCAGCACTTTGATCACATCTTATTTGTGTGTGTTTAATTTAAAGTCCACTGGTGATTTACAGAGACAAAATTACAAAAATTGTGCGAAATAATTCTGAATATTCAAGCGTCAACTGAATATTTTATTGTTTATTCTTTCCTATTTAACTTTATCCATATTTTCTGTTCTGCTAATCTTCACTGTTTCACTGTTGGTCATGTCAAGATGCAAAGATTTGTTTCATGTAAAACTAAAACTAGCAAACTTACCATCTGTTTTTCTAGTGATGAATTACTGTGAGCTTAAGTTCCAGCATGAATCTCTATTCTCTTATTTCACCTGAATTATCCAAAAAACTTGGGTTGCTTTTAAGTTTTTATTACACACTAGAAATCTCATTAGTCTGGTAAAATTGTAATAAGCCAGTAAAACTGTATCAAAAGTAAAAACCAAAAACCACAAAAACAGGTGTCTCAAATCAGTTTATTTTCTTTTTTCAAACCACTGATGATTCCAGGCTGTGGGGTTTTTGTAAAGTTCAGACAATCTTTTTGTCATTGTGCATATCTAGCTGCACAGTAGTACACTGCACTGTGCTCATGTTGTGTCACTTTGACTATCAGAGAGCCATTTTTTGCTGTATCCCCACTCAAATCTCCTGTAAAATCAAAATGATCTTTATATTGGTCTTGGTCAAATGTGAAAGCTTGGAAGTTTAAAAACCCAATGAGTTTCATAGCTGTTTCTCCGGGTGGCTGCTGGTACCAGAGCATCACCCTGTAGTCAGTCTTTTCATGGCTGCAGAAAATCTCAACTCTGGATCCAACATTTGTGATGAACTCAGAGGGAGTCTGACCAACCTCTACACCCAGACAGACACCTGGATAGAGAATGAAGAAAATTCAATTTAGACCATAACCCGACACATTTAATGAAACCATTTCCATGTTAACATCGCCTGAATAGACAAACATAAAAAATTCTGGTTAAATTACAACAGATGATACACTTAATGACACAATATAAATGTAAACAGGATCTTATGGTGTGTAAACAAGGTATTACCTGTCAGGCACCAGAAAAAGAGAAAAACAATCATTGTGACCTTCCTTTGATAACGTGTCCTTAAATTGAACTTCCTGTGTTTTGATGTCGGACTTTACTGATCTGTCTTAAACTTTAAGATGTAATTGAAGTGAACACTATACTGGCTGGGATCTAACCAAGAGTGGGAGGAGTATGTTCAAGTTTAAAACCATCCACTTTAATTGTTTTGAGTTTTTGTATTACAGGGAGGGGTTTTCCTCTCAGTGTGCAAAGCTTGCTGCACAGTAATACACTGCACTGTGCTCAGGTGCCTTTAGGTCCACTATAAACAGAGAAGCATTCTTTGCGTCATCTCCACTCAAATCTCCACTAATATTAAAATGTGTCTTAAACGATTCCTCGTGCTCTTTGTTGTTGTAATATAAATGTCCAATGCGCTTCAGAGCCTGGTCTCCAGGGGATTTCTGGTACCACTGCATGAGTATGTAGTCGGTCTTTTCATGGCTGCAGACCAGCTGCACTTTTTCTCCAGGTCTTCTGAAAACTTCCAAAGGTGTTTGGGAAACTTCAACACCCAGACAAACACCTAGAAACAGAGAAAATGAATAATCAGCATATAAACTAAATATAATTTGGGATACTTGGATGATAAATGTGATTACCAGTGAGCCAAAACAAACTGAATAATGTCAGCATGATGAGCTTCTGTCTGAAAACAGAACAGCGAGTGATATGAACATTTTCCCCGTGCACACTTTTATTGACGCCCTCCTCTTGAAACCAGCTGCTAAAGGTTTTGATATCAGTATTTCTTGAGCTTCATCGCCACCTACTGGAGGACATAAAAGTCAAGTCATCTCTAATATCAGATTAATTGTTGAGCAGTTTCTGTACAGCTTCTCCTACTTATCACATCACTGTGTTTGCTGACAGCACAGAAATACACACCACTGTCATTCTGCTGCAAATCATTCACAGTTAGAGCGCCGTTCTCAGCTTTTGCTTTTAGAGCTGAATATTTGTTTTTAGGCGCCCCACCATAGTCGGGCACCCCACCCAAAGCTGTGTAGACGATGAGTCTCATGGTTTCGCCCGGTCTTTGAATGTACCAGTACATCTGGTTATGAGATATATCTTTTTTGTGGCTGCAGTTCATCTCTGCAGCTTCATTAACATAACTCCATCTGATTTCAGGTTGTTGAGTCACATCCTGGGAAAAACCTGAAAGAAGAAAATATAAATGAATATTTAAAAATACTCTGAGCAAACGTGTTCATGTCTTACACGAACAAAAATGATTAATGTTTATGTACCTTGAAGCCACAGAGATGAGAATATGAAAGCGATGACTGGTTGAGCAATCATAGTGTTACTGTACAATTTTTATAATGGTAGGTGGAGGTTAAAGGCTGTTCCTCACAGTAAGGACCTCCCATTCCCTTACTGGGTTATAATCACAAAACCAATGTTGGTTAGAATACAGGTGCAAGCAGCTATGAGCTGTAAGAAGACTAACAGTGAAGACGTTTTTGTATTGAGGATTATTGTTATGTAGCACTGTGTAACTAGCAGCACAGAAGTACACTGCACTGCTGTTCAGGGTGAGATCTTTAATTGTCAGTGTGCAGGTCTGGTCTTTATTTGCATTCCCATGAATTGTCACAGTCACTCCAGGCTCTACAAATGGGCTTGTTCCTACCATGTATCCCAGGAGCTGCAGTTGACCGTTTTCTGTTTGCTTGTACCAGAAGATGCGATCATAGTTAGTTATCTTGTGTACACAGTTGATTTCAGCTGTTTGTTCTTGATTTTTATACATATCAGCTGGAGTCTGGAAGACTTGGTCACTGAGTGAGGAACCTGTGAAAAATGTCAACAAAAAATCTCACAACAATATAAAACAACAAATATGTGAGTAAAGGATAAAAAATTAAAAAGTAAAAAAGGTGCATTACCTGAAACCAGGATAATGTTTAAGGTTATGCAGAAGAAAGTGAATATCTTATTTTGTGGCATGATTATATTCAAGAAGTTGCACGTTAAGTCTTCCGTGCTTTCATAACTGTGTATTCAGCTACACTGATCATTCATTTGTCATTTCTGGTTAAACCCTCCCATCAAACAATGGGCAGTGATGCAGTGAATTCTGAGCAGCCTCTACGCCACAGACATACTGCCACGTTATGAAATGGCTTAAAGTGACAAAAACCTGTAACAGATTGTCCTTTTTCAGCACCTCACCATGTTATTCTATATCTCCTTGAACATCTTCATCATCTTTTCCTTCATCTATGCAGAACTATCTGCTATCTGCTCAGGAAACTGTGCATCCAAGCTTCAAGCAGCACCATTGGGTTAAAATTGATGGTGCATTAATATGCTTGAATTTTAATTTCTATCACTGAATTCTATCCACTATATCCAGATTCATGAAAAAGCTGCATTTTTCTCAGACCACACCAGTGAGTCCCAAAGTTACTGACAGCTCAGAAGTTGCTTTTTATTTCCTTTTAAAATGATTGTTGTCATAGCTAACTCGATGCAGAAGATGTTTCCTGACCAACTGTTTCAGTAGTTTGACAGTAGATGTGGTGTAATAACTCAAAAGGCCTTCCAGAGGATATTAATAAAAAGAGAAGCATATTTTTATCTGAAAGGGGAGCTCCTTTTTAAAATCTCTTGCATGAATCATGTACCTGGAAGCCACAGAGATGAGACAACAAATGTGAAAAGCACTTGAGGAATCTAAGGCTCTGTTCACACTGCAGGCGAAAGCGCATAAAATCCGATTTTTTTATTTATTTTTTTTACCCTATGCGACCCATATCCGATCATGCTATGACAGTGTGAACGGCACAAATCCGATATTTTCAAATCCGATCTGGGTCACTTTCGTATGTGGTACTGAATCCGATACATATCCGATGTTTTAGAAAGCGACTGCTGTTTGAACGGTCATGTCGCATTAAATCCGTCTTTTACGTCACTGACACAAGACAGACGCCAATTATCAGCGCCGGAGAAGACATCGCGAACGCTTCCTGGCCATCCAGTGTAGATGTTAGTGAAACTGTTGGGAAGACAACGTGAACATTTTATTTGTACTGTATAATCTGCAGATTCTGACAGAAATCTGCAACTATCCTTTGAAGCACCGCTCCTCTAAAACAGCAATAAGGATAATTATTAGGTTATCTACATTATTATGTAAATAACAAAATAACTTAAAGCAAAAATTGGGAAACGTAAAGTCCGAAGTCTTTATATTAAGGGCCATCAGTCAAACAATATGTTTGCTCTGGGTCTAAACAGAGCGCGTTGTGTGTGACGTCTTCTTTTGCGCATGCGGGCCGCTTTGAGCGTTCACACTAGAGCGTGTTTGCTGTCGCATTTTATTTGTAGTGTGAACAAGCAGACAAAAAAATCGGATTTGATCAAAAAATCGGAATTGAGCATTAAGACCTGCAGTGTGAACGTAACAATAGTGATACTCTACAATGAGAAGCAGCTGACATTGTAAATATTAATGCCTGTTGTTAATTAAAACCTTTAACCTCCTCCTATTATTATAAATAAATCTAAGGACCTCCCATTTTAGTACCGGATTATAATCACAAAACGAATGTTGGTTAGAATACAGGTGCAAGTGTCTGTAAGAGATAAAAACTGGCAATTGGAAGGTTTTTGTATTGTGGATCAGTGATATGTAGCACTGTGGTATCTAGCAGCACAGAAGTACACTGCACTGCTGTTCAGGGTGAGATCTTTTATTGTTAATGTGCAGGTCTGGTCTTTATCTGCACTCCCTTTGATTTCAACCATCCATCCAGGCTCTAATACGTCTCGGGTTTTTAACATGTATCCCAGGAGCTGCAGTTGACTGTTTTCTGTTTGCTTGTACCAGAGGATTACATCGTAGCTGTCTATACTGTGCGAACAGGTGATTTCAGCTGCTTGTCCTGGATTTTTATACATATCAGCTGGATTCTGGTGGACTCGGTCACTGAGTGAGGAACCTGTGTTTAAAACAAACAAACAAAAAAACATCAGAAACCTCATCAGAAATAAACTTCCAATATAAGAGTAAATCCTGAAGACTTGAAAAGTTAAGAGTGCATTACCTGACACCAGGATAATGTTAAGGCTTATGCAGAAGAAAGTGATCATCATGTTGTGTTGCATAACTAAACTCAGGAACAGAGCTGTTATGTTGCCTGTGCTTTCATAACTGTGTATTCAGTTCTGCTGATCGCTCATATCTCATTTCTCGTTAAACCCTCCCACCAGGAAGATGGGCAGTGATGCAGTGGATTCTGAAGAGCCATTATACTACAGACATACTGCCACCTCATGAAAATAAATAGTGTTTCTGTATTTGAGTTCCACACTGTTATTTCTTTCTTTGTCTGTGAAAGCTCTGTTAACATAACTCCAGTTGATTGAGTCACATCCTGGGAAAAACCTGAAAGAAGAAAATATAAATGAATATTAAAAATACTCTGAGCAAACGTGTTCAGGTCTTACGCGAACAAAAATGATTAATGTTTATGTACCTTGAAGCCACAGAGATGAGAATATGAAAGCGATGACTGGTTGAGCAATCATAGTGTTACTGTACAATTTTTATAATGGTAGGTGGAGGTTAAAGGCTGTTCCTCACAGTAAGGACCTCCCATTCCCTTACTGGGTTATAATCACAAAACCAATGTTGGTTAGAATACAGGTGCAAGCAGCTATGAGCTGTAAGAAGACTAACAGTGAAGAAGTTTTTGTATTGAGGATTATTGTTATGTAGCACTGTGGTATCTAGCAGCACAGAAGTACACTGCACTGCTGTTCAGGGTGAGATCTTTAATTATTAATGTGCAGGTCTGGTCTTTATTTGCACTCCCTTTGATTTCAACCATCCATCCAGGCTCTAATACGTCTCGGGTTGCTAGCATGTATCCCAGGAGCTGTAGTTGACTGTTTTCTGTTTGCTTGTACCACAAGATGCGATCATAGTTAGTCATCTTGTGTGAACAGTTGATTTCAGCTCTTTGTCCATGATTTTTATACATATCAGCTGGAGTCTGGATGACTTGGTCACTGAGTGAGGAACCTGTGAAAAATGTCAACAAAAAATCTCACAACAATATAAAACAACAAATATGTGAGTAAAGGATAAAAA